AAAAATTATGAATATCAATTTCATACAATTCAGACAAATGGATAAATCGCAAAATGATTTACTCCAGATAACTCTAGTCAGTAGATTATTGCCATCAGAATGAAAACAAATGATCAAAAGTTCAAGTACAGTCAAACATTCAAAAAGTAAATACATTTGGGGAAGGCAAAAATAATGTTGAAAGTAAATTTCCTACGTACCAAACATCATGAGAGCTATATCAGTACACCAGAGATCCAACAATTAGGCTTCATCGAATTATTAGAGATTCGATCCTCACCAGGTGCTTTACGCACCTTGAGGTCTTTAATATGATCTTGAAACTCTGCTAGTATACAACGAGGTATCTCGAGAGATTCCGCTAATGAGACATGCAACTCTTCAGTTGAGGAATCTCCCGAGGAAAACTCCTCTGAGGTAAAATTACTAAGTTACCAGTTCACTGCGAGTGGAACGCGTAAGCCGTTATTCATTGGCTTTCTTCATCGTCCAAATTTCACAGATATCTATCGCTATGGGTCTTATGATGGTCTTATAAATGCTATTCTTAGAGGCGCATGTGAGATTCCTCGACTTAATAAGATTAGTAGGGACGGACATGCATTGATACGCAGATTGGATTCTGCATTTATATCACTGTCTGCAATGATCGTTGCTCCAAAGTATCTGAAATGTTATCAATGTCTATTGTTACATTTTGCCCAATTCTGTCCCCTTTGTCTTGTTTATGTATTTAGTTTTGTCTGCAGTAATTCTTAGTCTTTTTGGTATGTGCCTCTACAACTTCAAACATATCTTCAAATGATATCAATATAATTTCGAGAAAGTCAATATTATCTACTTATGCCCTTCAGCTTTTAAAAGTTCAAGGGTAATTTCTGCCTCAATTACTGCCTTTTCTAAGATTACATTTAACAGAAGAGGAGAGCATTTCTGCTAAAAGTCCGTGGTTCTATTAAACGGCTCGGAGAGCTGAATATTATTTACTTCTACCCCGGCTCTACTGCTTTGTACTCATATCTTAATTATGTTGACGAGCTTCCCTGGAACCCAAAATTCAGCGAACGTAATCCATGATATTTCTCTCCGTGTACAATGTTATAGGCCTCTCAAAAATCCATAAACCGATTAAGAATGGTGCTGTTAAACTCCCACACTTTTTGGAGCAACTGTCTCAACGTATTTGTCCTCCATCATTTTGCACGTTCATCAGTTTCTCGTACAAGCGATTGCTAGGAGTTTAATATTCGTTCATCTTATAAAACTCGCCCGTCGCAGAAAAAGCGATAATTGTTATGTTATAAAAGCTACGGTTGCCCAGGTCCCTTGGGATGATTTGGGCTGCAATAAAATCTTACGCTATGTTTTATCCCTATTGCATCACAAAGATATGCGTTACATACAGGGTGTACCAATGAAAATGAAAAGTAGTTTTATGAGCAATCTGTTAGAGCAAAAATATGTTTTCGTGGCAACCTTGATATTTTACTAGTGCATATTTTAAATAATTTTAATATAAACAGAGTGTTCCATAACTTCGTGCGTTATTAAACATATTTTTTTAATGTAACACCGTATATCGTATTGGATATTTGATTAGAGCTTCTAAAATAAGAAGTTTGTTATCATATAACATATGGATTTGATTGTAATTGTTTAGATATTTGGTCAAACGTCTGAAAAAATGGTCAGCTTTGACCGCTCCCAGCTCCACCATTTTTGAAGGTATTAAGATAAATCTTAGTTCACAAAAATTTTACAATCATCGATTTTAAGCCTACCTGAAGTGCTAAAACTTCTTTCTGTTTATACATGATCTTAAAACGCAAAAAGTACCTTTTCTCAAAAATTTCTGATGGAACACCCTGTATATTTATACATCGTTTTCTTATATAAGGTTTATACACATTTTTTCCAAACGTTTTTGTGTTATTGTTATTAATTTCAAGAAAAACCAAATACATACTCGTATTCTATTTTAACATGGAATCAAATCTTCTATCATAACAATAGCCTAAGACATTCAATCGTTAACAAATTGCTCGAATATATTACCTTGGTGCAAAGCACACAAGACAAGACGCCTTTTCATATTATTTTGCACGTCTAAAAGGATTTTGTCTAGTTATCCGTCTAAGCGACTCTTTTATACGTCCTCGGGTGTTGTACAGTTGTATTCATAAAAAAAGCGTACACGAATTAGAATGAGAGGAAACCTTAACCTTATTTGCGTAAAACCGGCTTATCGCATGTTAAAGGTTATTAAAAATGCAAAGCATGGGCGTCGGGCATTAGTTCAATACAGTAACAAAACTGTATTTCTTTATTTTACATCTTAACAGTTTTATAAAAATTACAATAGAAACAAAAAACGATTAACAAGAATAAATAAAATCTAATATTTAGTCATATATCCCTGTTTTTCTATTACTTGAGCCAGTCTATTCGGAATTGACTGAATTATATTTGATACAATATTTGGATCAAGCTCTTCCCAGCACGCATGTATTATTTCCCATAAATCTTCTGAATTTTGTGGCCTAAAATTTCGATTATATATTTTTTTTACGATTATACCCCAAATATTTTCGATTGGATTGATATCGGGACTATAAGCGACCCAAGGCAGCACTTCCACATTATGGGTTTGAAACCAGTGGGTTACAGCATTGGCCGTATGAACTGGACAATTATCTTGTTGAAATATGAACGTATTATTGGGATATATTTGCTCAGCACTTGGTAACAATATGTTTTCTAAAATGTTAATGTAATTTCCGGCATTAAATCTTCCCTCTATTCGCCAGCAAACACCAGGTCCATGAACACTTATCCAGCCCCATACATTTACAGAGAAACGCCCAGGTCTAGAATTGAGGGGGTTAGTATATCGCTCTTCAAACCTGGTATTGTTTGGACGGTAAACACGAATTTGGCCGTTATAAGTCGACTGGAACATTTTTTTCGCAGCAGGGTGACATTTTAGTTCAGATTTCATTACTCTCCTGCTGGCGGTAGGTTGGGAGGCAGGAGATGCTGTATCAATAACAGCATCCCTTACAGTTGCAAATGGATTATTTCTTAAATATCCCAAAAAAGCAGCATCCTGTTCAGGGTTGGTAAGTTTGGGACGACCTGAACCAATTTTCCTCTTTAGGGAATCTTCCTGTTCCCAGCGTTGCTTAATTTTCAATATGGTTTTTTTATTTCTATTATACAACTGCGCTACAGCACGGATTGACCATCCTTCTTCGATTCTTGATACAATTTGAGCCTTTTCAACTTCAGACAACTGACGAGGCATTTTTATTTTCTTCTATCAAAGTTTATCAAACGTTACCACCACGCATTTTCGAAATTAATTACACCGACGTCAATGCTTTGCATTTTTGACAATCTACGACGTGTGATAACCTCCAATAAACAATCATTTAGACAAGCCGGTTTTACGCAAATAAGGTTAAGGTTTCCTCTCATTCTAATTCGTGTACGCTTTTTTTATGAATAGAACTGTAGGTTTCTCCTGGTAAACCTCTCCTTTTACGTGGGCCCAGGGAAAGAAATTGAGAGGCGTCAGATAGAAAGATCTCGCTGGCCAATTCATTGGTCCGCCTCTCCATATCCAACTATTAGGTGATGGTGCTCCTTGAAAATGGTGTGGCCCAATAATTTGATCGCCAGTGATGCCAGCTCACACATTTAGTGATCATATATTTTGGTAGTCCACTTGTCGGATTTACTGGTACGTAATAATGCATATTACGGCGATTCACGAGACCATTGCTCTTAAATATTGCCTCGTCGCTGAAGAGTATGGAAAAGAAGGAAGGCCGTGTTCTCAATTTTATGAAGCATCAAATTGCAAAATGACACTCGATTGTTGAAATCATTCCCATGGAGGTCTTGGTGTAGCACCAAATGGTACGCATGATACTTATACTTTTACGTAATTCTGTTAACAGTTGAGTTGCTAACGTCTACCATCTCACTGAGTCGTTGGGTACAAATCTGCATGTACTAAATTTTGTACTGCACTGTAAGCAAGAACAAACATCAGTGATATATGGTTCTTCGAATTAAACACAATAACGAATCGAGTTTCCCACGTTCCTGAAACAACGTGGTGTGAAAAAAGACTGGACCTGATCAAACATCTGCGAATCAACAAAACTACTTGAAATATATTACAACAATTTCATAATAAATGACTGTCTTAGATGAGTCTTATGTAAAAAGAATTTCATTGTTTTTATGGAAGATCTCATTTTAAGTCTAAATATGGAATATACTTTTTTCTTGGAATTAATAGCAATAACTCTAAAACTGTTCGAAATAAGTGGTATAAGCCTTATATCAATAAAAGGTTCCCAAGACAAGCATTTTAATAATGTAGAAATATATAGGATGTTCAATTTTAAATTTATGAGAATAAGTACGTTTCGCGTTTTGAGATACCTTGTATAAATAGAAGGATATTTTCGCATTTCCTTCAGTGTTCAGTGTGAACTTTTATCTGAATACATATATTAAAAAATCGCGAAGTATGCAATAAATTATAGGACATTTGTTATTAGGTTATGGAGCACGCTGTACATATTGAAAATTATCAAATTAATTAAATAAAATTATGAAAATAATGTTAAGATATGCTCTAGTAACATATCAAGGTTTCCAGGAAAACAATTTTTGATGTCTTTTCCAGTTTGCTTTTAAAACTACTTTCCATTTTCGGTGCGACATCCTGTATGTTTCTACTTTTTAAAAGATAACGCGGAATCAAATATATGGGGGTTGATCTAATGTACATTCCTCGTACCGTACAGCAAGAGTCAACTGTCTCGTTTCCAATGCCTAAAAATAAACATCATTAGAAAATTTCAGAAAAAAAATATGGACCGTGAACTGTTGTTGGAAGCTAAGGTGATAACTGAAAAATAATGGAAGATAATGTTTCTAAAACATATCAGCTTAGTAATTTTCTCTTAATTCTTAATTTTTAGGTTTGAATTTTTTTGACGAGGCTATCAAAAAGACCCCAAATGACAAACGAGCTTTAATTGGGAGAGCGAGGGCAAGAGCAAAGGCTTGCCAGTATGAAGGTGCCCTTGAAGATGTCAACAAAGCCCTAACCTTCGACCCAGATGATCTTGTAGTTCTGGCGGATAAAGCTTTGAATACGTACCTGAGTTGTGAGTTTGAAGAGGGTTTGGTGCAGAATACCAGGTTGTTACCTAGGAGGCAAAAACCGGACCATTTTAGTATGGGAGTTATGCATGTAAGTGTTAATCTGATAATTTTCAACCAGTGGCTACATGCTGAGAAGTTACGTCATTATCGAGTGAGCACTTAGGAGGAAGGATGTAATGTGCGAGTTAAAAAGGCTATTCGATAGGGACGAATTGACGTTGAAATGGAATAAAACAAGATCATTGTGAAATATAAAGTAGTTTTTTATTCAAAAGATCCATATACGCCATTATGTATACTATTACTTGGCTTCGTTTGTCCGCCGCAACCCTACACATTATCACCACGAATGCAAGAGGTCAAGTTATCAGTGACTGAATATTTGTACCTAAAACTGAGAAAAGAAATGGACCATATACAGGAGAAATTTTATTAAATTAATGTAATGTTGCTTATACGAGGGCCACGCTATATATTTTGAGATACAAGAAAACTAAACTAAAACTAAAAAAGTTTATTTATGCTCAACGTATTCTAATGCGTCTAGCCAGTCAGATTTGTGGATTGCCTTCAGCAAACTGATTAATTGCTTGAACGATTTCCTCTTCGGACGAACATTTTCGAACACACAGATTTTTTTTCAAATTCTTGAAGAGCCAGAAGTCACACATTGCCAAATCTGGCGAATAAAGCGGATGTTCTATCATTTTGATGTGGCGCTGGCATAAAAAGTCTACAGTTAGTTGGGCAGTGTGGCTAGCGGCATTGTCGTAATGCAGGATTGTACCTCTGAAACAACTTTTTTGAAGATGATCATGCAAAGTGGTGTGCACTGATGCGGATCCTACCCCAAAAGTTGCATCTATAGTCGCATACGTGCAGCGAGAATCTTCTTCAATTTGCCGCTAAACTTTAGCAATGTTTTCTGGAGTCACATTAGAACATGGCCTACCAGTACGTTCTTCATCAGCCAATGAAACACGCCCTGTTTTGAATTCGGCATACCAGCGAAACACACTTGCCCGGACGGAGCTTCACTACCAAATGTCTGTTGAAACCATTCGATTCATTGATGCTCCGTTAAACCGACTTTAAGCTCATGCTAAATCATAGCACGATAACTCTCTCGAAACAACTCCATGTTTCCTCTTAAATTTGTTTACACCACGTGCACTGTAAGATGCTTGTAAATGAACTGAATGAGCATCTCAAAATATACAGCGTGCCCCTCGTACAACTCCTTGGGATGAAGTGTACCTTAAATAATTACCAAAAACCTCTCTTACAAATGATATTCACACATGTTTACTTCCTACGCCTACTGACGAGGAAATATTGTAATTACAAAACATTTTGAAAATGAGATTGGTATTATGTTTTTTATGTTAAATGACATGTAGATCACAAAAAATCATGTCACTCATCTCCGTCGGTCTGTCTAAATCACTTAAATTGGGTTTTTTGACGTTTCAAATGATCCGGAACATTTTTGAAAATAATTTTATGGAAGAAAAATTGGATGTTGCTGGGTTGGGGAGGATGTATCGCCATCGTTTGATGTCAGTTTATTAATACAGTTCCAACCCCGATAATCATAGATTGCCCTTAAAACTTAGAACGATAGACAAATTAATGTTTTCGACAAGCATCCTCGCGTCTACTGACTAACGGCCGCACCCAGCGTGCGTATTCGTGTATGTCCTACATGGGGAGAGGTGACGCAACGTTGCCAGATGAACGGTACTTCAGGTATGGCAGGGAAGGGTTGCTATGGACTAATTGTATCGTCAGGCGTTTCGTGCTTTTTTGACAACTCATCAGCATGTCGCTAACGGCCCTTAAAGACCTAATGGCTCGGCTGATGGCTGCTCCTATGATACGTCTCTCTCCACTTGATTTTCAATTGAAAAATAAAGGTTTACAATAACAATATTATAATTGTTTGGAATTATGTTAATGAATGTTGAAAAAATATTTAGAAACTTTGGCGACATGGAAATGTTCGTTTCTTCGTATTGTTTTTCGGGGAGAAACGGGCATATTTTGTATTTTTTTGAATGTTAAATCTCTTATGTCTCGAAAACTATCAACTTTACATAAAGGTACGCGAGATCTTTTCTAAGTAATACAGCACAAAGTGTCATCTATTACCAGACTCGATTACTGCGAAATTGAAAACAGCAAGCTACGTGCTGTAACAGTATCTCAGTCACTCACAGTGACCGCTAGATGCCGCCGATTCTGTTGCGAAAGGTTTAAGAACTACATACCAAAATATGTGAACTGACCTAAACATACCTCAGTCCAAAAGTTGATAGTTTGCGAGATACAGGGTGACAAAGTTACAATTTTATTTTCTATTTTCTTCCTTATTGCTTGAGAAGTATATCAGATTTTAGCATAAAAGTCTGTGTGGAGGTTTTCTAGTATGAGAAACAAGAATCCGTTATTTTTTGTGACCAAACTTCTAAACGGCGTCACTTACAGCACTATTACGGTAAATAACTTATCATAACTTTTTTGTGCTACCCTTGATACAACTGGGCGAAAAATCTTATTTTTTCGTATTTCCACAACAAAAAGTTTTACTTGTTAGAAGTGTCTAAGCTAATAGTTTTCGAGACATTTGTTTTTAAAAGTTCCAATGCATTATTTGTACCATGATGATAAAGCATTTTTATAACATTATTTGTATTATTGCATGAGGATTTTAGTCTGCATAAATGTGAAGATTATATGACTTAATGGGCCCATCGCTTCCAAATCCTGCTTCGTCCGAAAATAATATTAACGAAGTAAAACCATTGTCGTGGTTAAACTTCCATAAGAGCCATGTACAAAATTCTTGCGGGGTCATCATCCGCCTTTAAGCCATGTACCTTTTGCAGGTGGTATGGATGGAGCAGTTGCTCTTGAAAAATGGTATTTACTGTACATTTGGAAACTTGATATTCTCGAGCTACATTGCTAGCAGTAACTGTAGGATTTTCAAAAACAACATCTAAAACATTTTCTTCAACTTCATATGTATGTACAGAGCTCCACTATGTCGGCCCATATTTTGAGCAAAACTACCTAAAATCCAAATGGTTTTTACAACTCAAAATAAGGCTATCATCATTTCTTACCAGTTTCTCGTAACCGCTGATCGTTCGTCGTATACACCATGATGCTTAAAAACTTATTGACAACTTGAAATTATTTATGGAGTTTAAAGCAATATTATGCCAAACATTAGAAACCATAGCAACGCTACTCAGATATTATCCAAAGCAACTTGATTATTATGTTACAAAAATGTTTTATCATCATGGTACAATTAATGCATTAGACGTTTTAAAAACAAATATCTCAAAATCTATTAGCTTTAGACACTTCTAACAAGTAAACCTTTTTTGTTGTGGGAATACGAGAAAATGAGATTTTTCGGTCAGTTGTTGTATATAGGGTAGCACAAATTAGTTATGATAAGTTATTTACCGAAATAGTGCTGTAAGTAGTGCGCTCTAGAAGTTTGGCATTAAACAATAACGGATTCTTGCTTCTCATACTAGAAAACCTCCCTATACCGAGTTTTATGCCAAAATCTGAAATACGTCTCAAGAAATAAGGAAAAATAGAAAATAAAATTGTAGCTTTGACACTCTGTATCTCGCAAGCTATCAACTTTTGGACTGAGGTATGTTTAGGTCAATTCACATATTTTGGTCTGTAGTATCTGCAGTTTCGAGATTTCATAACCTTTCGCAGACACCCTGTATAATAACAGATTTTTGGCAGCAGATAGAATTGAAATATTAAAAACAAAACACTGTTAAAACGTGAGATGATATCTTGCAAAAATATGGTTTTAGGAAGAAATCAAGGACATGAATTGAGTTTCTTTTTATTTATTCTCAGGTTCAAAATCAGGTTTGGCTATTGAACCCATTTATATCTTCCTCAATACTTGCATCGCTAACTACAGATCACTACAGATCTTCTTGACATCCTTGGGTATAAGACTAAATTATGATTTCAAGTCTTCTAGCTCGTCTCTGATATATGTTTTCCATTGGACCACTATACTCTTCGAGGGGTTAAGTATGTAGTCCTTAAATCGGAGTGTTCAATTGTCTTTTTACTTCCTATGCCTACAGTCAGGGAAGTATTGTGATTGCAAAAATTTTCCAAAATGAGATATTGTGGCTTTTGGACGTTGCATGACATGTACATCACGAAAAATGATGTCACACTCATTTCCATCGGCCTGTCTGTCGGTCTGTCCGCTAATCTTATAACCGCCTATAACTTGAAAAGTACCGCTTGGATTTCGATGAAAATTTAACGCAAGGAGGTAAAAACTTTGTAGTTTTTGAAAATCGGTCACGTGGTGGCGGGGAAAAGGCCAAAAACAGAAAAATTGAAATCGACCAAACTTCGTTTTTGACGTTTTATGATCACTTTCGGAAAACATTTCGTAGGGTTATACTTGGGGGTTAAGCATTGCAGATGGGTATATCTCAATTTTTTCAAGTTGGTATACTTATACGTCTCCAGCCCCAGTAATTTTACGCACATAGGCATATTTCACTCATCTTAGATGTTCTCGTACATTTACCCTTAAAACTCAGGAATATCTCCTATAGTCGTCTCCCGATGTGCAAATTACTAGAATACTCGTATATGCCTTGCAAATTGTATTTATTTCATTCCACTGGAATAATATTGATGGATTCCAGCAAATATCATAGTTCGATATAATTATATAGATAGGTTGTTATAGTTGTAGTCACCGTTTTTTGCGGATCAAAGTAGGACTACCAGTATCCCTTCATATATCTCCATCTCTCTCATAATACACATGCAACCTACTCCTGTGTGTGATCGTTTGTTCGGTAAACTCAAAAATAGAACAACTTTCCCCTTGAAAGGAAGAAAATTGATATTTCGGGTCTTGCCATAGGGCTGACCGTTGAGATTACCCTCTTCATTCACAGCGTTGTGAGTGGTGTATCCTCCTTTCTTCTCGACTTTACTTACCCCATTCTAGCATCCCAATCACTAGGCCCTTGAGTATCCCCCTCTCCGCGCCATGGCTAGCCGGCA